AAAAAAAAAAAAAAAAAAAAAAAAAAAAAAAAAACGCGTGAGAGTAACAAATTAAGCTACTTTATTTGTTCGTGTTCTTGATAGAAATCTTTGTTAAAAGGTGCATATTCTACGGTCGAGTGATCAATTGATGGTAAGGGATCAATGACTTTCTTCCAACTCCACAGAATATTACCATCTTCATCATATTCATAAACTTCTTCTTCCTCAGGAGCATTCGCTTTTCTTTCTTCCAGAAACCTGTTAAAAAGCTCCGAGCTAACGAAAAAAGCAATTAAATATTTGCAACAGCGATGAATATAAAAGGCACAAACGTAATTAAAACTACAAAGAAAATAAAACGCACTTAAAGTACGACTCTTGCATATCCTCCTCATCAATATCGGTCCTTCCCAAGCCCTTTTTATCCGCATCTTCCTCTTCATTAAAGTTCCCCTTCTCTATTTTCAAACTCCTTTCTTTATCTTTCTTCAGACTTTCATCCTTGTCTGCTTTAGCCTAAAAGTCATAAATTATTTTAATAAAAAAACAAGCGAAGTAACGTTTAAAAATTGCAAAACGTTATCTTACAAAAACCAAAAAAATTACCTGCTTATCAACACCTGCCATGAAAGCATCCAAAGGATCATCTTCATCATCATTATCATCATCGCCGCCTTTGTTAGCAGCTGGACTATCAGGAGCAGGCTGATAAGCTAACTCATCATCAGACTCCTTTTCCAAATATCTGAAACATTCAAGTAATACGTTTAACAAGCTTCTTTAAATTTTACAGAACATTAAAACTAATTCAAAAAACTCGACAATACGCCAACAGGTGAACAAAAATTGAAAAAAGAATTTTTTCAAACAGATATGCTCAAATCAAGGACGTTCCGTAGACACAATGTTTGGATAAAATAAATAAAATAAGATTTTAACCTTTAAAAAAAACCTTTTTTTTTGCAAACAAAACGTTAAGGGCGGTAAAATACTTAACTTCTCAAAGGCTTTTTATCCTCGATTTAGAAATCCGTAAGATAGCTAACTGTTTCACGTCTTACAAAAAAAAGAAAAAAAGCAACTAATTCAATGCCTCCCTCCCGTTAAATGAATATGCTGTGGTTTGCTGAAATAATTAGGCTGTAAATCAGCCAAACTTACTGCTTTTAATGTATGGCTAGACTTACTCGTCGTCATAGATGTTCCTTTTACGCGGGCCAGTCTTCCCGCCACTCGATTTAGTTCCACTTGCCATCAGCGCTGCGTACTATTAACAAAAAACAAATCAACAAGCTCGTGAAGTACCCAATCCCAAAATTCAGCGCTCACCAAATAGGAAATAAAAACCTTCCTCTGTCATCCATCTGAGAACACAAGACTGCAAGTTTCTTTCTCTTTCTTCATCCTCTTCCCTACCTCCCTCCCTCCAAGAAATAAAAAAAATGGAAAGGAAAGAAAACAAGAACGAGAAGAAAGAGAATGAAGTAATAGAAAAAAGGAAGAAAGAAGTAAAGTGCCGGTAGATCAAAAATCACGAATAAAAAATAAACAGTGGATCAGTAATGATGATGTTAAGCGGTAAAAACTGTCCCAGTATAGGCATTCTTTTTGCATTTGATGTAAAATATGCAAAAATACTGCTCCTTTCCTAATACAATATTGGAATAAGTGCGGCAACTTTACCCGTAAAAACTAGAGTTGAGTTTGAAATGCCACTTTATGTCAAATTATACGTACCTCTGCCTCCTTCCTCCTCTCCATTTCTCGTGCTGCTACAGAAGATAATCCCGCAGCATTTGGCTGTGTTAAAGATGGTGGAGGCGGCACCGACCCCATGTGCTGAGACGTACTCGGAAACCGTACAGTTGGTTCGGGAGCACAGTCAAAGGAGTTTGCATAACCCCCGCGAAGCGGTCGCCTCGATGG